CCCCCGCCTGAATCCGCCAATGCTCGAAAGAGGAAGCTGTTGATAGCTTTGCCCCTGGGCATATGAGGAAGTAAAATCCGATGGGCAGGACGAGTCCAGGATCGAGGGGCCCGGGATACAATTGCACCCAGTCTTCTAGTACTTTTACTGCATGGAATATCCGGGGGTCCGTTGCCCAAACAGTAAAGCAGATTAAACAAAAACGTCGAAATCCCAGAAAAGCCACGCAGCCGAGCTCGGCACGTCACACACCCACATATATACACACACACGCAACACAGTCCCACCGCACTATGACTGACTACTAGTGAGCATTCATGTGCCGCACTTGGGTCGATGAACCATTCCCCGCACAGGACAGCAGTCAAAAGTGTACGGTATCGGGTACAGTAACCTAACTTGAGGTTTTGAGACACGCTACTTGGGACCCAACTTTGTCGTCGCTGAATTTGAAATCTTTGAGTCCTAGATGGACGGGGAACATAACCCCAAAATTCCAGCTTTCTAGCTTTTCTGATTCCCAAGTTAGCGATTCTATGCCCATAATTCCTCATCCCTAGCATTCATAATTGCCAGTACACCCCATCACTCAAGCATTTGTGGCTTTGGATGGCCACTGACCGCCGCCAATAACTATGACTTCAGAGCCCTATCCGTGAATAGCTTTGGCACTGTGTCCTTTGACCCCGACCGAGTGAATATTTGTTATGGTGCGACATCCACTACAAAATCGGATTACAAGTAACATGCCATCAGAGTTCGTGTAATAGCAGCTGATCATTCAACGTTACTTGTGTAATACTTGAATAACGCACATTTTCAATTGGTGTCTGCCCACTTATACAAGTAACGACCGTTTCTGAGTGCAGCAATTGAGCATTTGCTGTATTCATAAACCTGAATGAATTTTGACCCTAACTCTGACTTCAGGTGAACTTTTGACCCCAAATATCTGCAAAACTCTGAAAGCTGACCTTCGAGTACTGTAGGTGACCTGTGAATTCCAGACATTTATGGGATCCATCGGAATACGTTGGAGCTTCGTCAGAACTCGTTGAAGTAATACCAATTTTGACAACTTGAGATGTACTGCTGTACTATTGAACATTGGAGATTTCATGATTCTTGACCGTGTCCTGACTTGTGACCCGAACTATTTTGACACATCTATAGAGACTTGTACAAGTGTTGGTGACCATTTTACTGGATAAAGATGGGAGAATAACGACATGAACAACTTCTGACAACTTATGCTTTTTGAAAACATCAAAACCTAACAGGTACAACATAAGATAATAAATTTACGAATTGTCAGATGTAAAAATGAACTAAAAACATCAATTACATAAACTTCCCAGGCCAATGTGCGTGGTACCCCGATGATCTTGGTTTAAACGTACAAGAATTTCTTACGCCCAGAATCGCATTTGCTCTTAATTTTTATCTAATGTCCACAGCAAGGCACGATTTCCATCTATATGGGTCGTGTAAAAAAAAATTATCTAATATACGGCCATACACACATGCGCGTGCACGCACACAAACACACGCACGCCTCTTGTCAATATGCGTTTCTGCATTTGTATAAATATGTAAAAACGAATTAAAAAAAAAAAAGAAATTTGAGATAAAATTATAAAAGTTGGGGTAATTTGCCTAAGGACAGTTTTGCCTAACTCTGTCGATGCTCCCAGTGGCCCCGATTTGTAGCCTCATTTTCCACAGGCTGTCAATTAATGCGTTAACCCTTTGTAGCATCTTCTCTTCTTTTTTTTTTCTTTGAACAACGTGGCATTTTTTTAGTGGATGGTTGAAGAACTGTTACCACTGTGCTTTCCTCAAAATACTTCCGAGATCCTCTTCTCCTCAAAAATTACTGCAAAATAAGTTTTGATCTTAGACTATTTTACACGGCCCGTACAACGGTATGACCCTCATTGTTAAACATATCGTATTCTATCGCCTTTTTCTAACTTATGAATACCTCGCATTTGTGATAAACTAAGAATATGCAGTTTAGGGCAAAGGCGCTTGGATACATCTATGTCCGAGATATGAGGTGTGCATCAGGGGTCCCAAAACGACAATCGCGCTGATCATCATCATCATCATCATCAAATATGCTGCTTTAACGTGAACGAAATCCAAACATCAATAAAAGCACCGTAAAAAAAAGATTGTGGCAACAGTACTACAAAGCGGTCAGTTGTTGAAAACAATAAAAATTCATATGAAAAAAGGTTAAAAATGCACAGACAATAGTGAAAAAGCTTGTTAAAACCAAATTTGTCGTTCTCTGTATAAAAACTGACGCATCCAAAAGTTTTTTGAGCGTGGCAAGTGTCAAAAGCAATCACTCACTGACAGAGCTGAATTATTCGCTCTCAGCTTCACCTAAGCATCAGCTTCATAAACAGGGAAATCCCCTACGGATGACAGGTGTTGTAGGACAATTTCGAGGCGATAACTTCTTTTTTCAAGTGTGCTTACGAAGCAAACTAATGGCGGATAAAAGCTAGTAAAGGCCGAAGAGAATACGTAAAAGATCCAAAGTTGCAAAAAGTCATGGATAGCATAAGTTTGGAGTGCAGCTTTTTATACAACAAAGCGTTTCTCTCTTCATTTTGGTCGTTCCTCCCACTTGCAGCGCTAAAAAGGAGGCCGAAATCGCAAATAAAAAAAAAAAAAGACGTAAGAAACTGGGCGGTGATACAATTTAACTAGAACTCCAAAACATTCAATTATAAAGCACTAAAGTCAAGAAAAAAAGAACTGCCAGATTGTTCACGGGTTTCTCACTCGAAGCAAACTCATAGTGGATTTCATTCCCTCAAAATTAGATGGGAAATGCCAAAATTAGCGTCAAAAAGCAGTTAAGCAAGTGGATGGGAAATGTTAAAATTAGCGTTAGAAAGCATTAAACAGGCTAAAATGTTATTCAAGTTAAACGGAATGTAAAAATTCGAAAAGCACCATTTTGCGCAATAGGCAACCACGTCCCGCAAGAGCCATGTTTTACTCTGAAAAAAGAAATACAAAATCTAAAATCTCCATTCTACAGCCTACTCGCTCCCCTCCCTCCGTTCCCCGTTCTCCCTGTCCTTCTCCTTCCCCCCAACCGCCCCCCTTTTCCCCGTCCCCTCTGTTATTGAAAAATTACTGTTCTATATAATTATACAAAATGGTGCAAAACTCCAAGCCAATGAATGCGAAATGAAAGGATGTAAAAGATGTAAAAAAAAAAAAACAACAAAAATATTTCATATTTCAATAGAAATTTGAGAAAAATCAATATAAACTCTGACTACAGAAAAACACCGTCGATAAAACAGATGCGTTTGAGAAGACGCTTCATCCTATCAGTGGTAATCAAGGACGAGATACATTACGAAAGGGATTCGAATGGCTGTTGCTATAAGGTTGAGGGATAACTCGGGCAGCGTTATGTACCATCATGTTGATGGTTCGCAAGTCCTGAAATTACTCCAAAACTTTCAGCGATGAGAAGGAATAATTTACACGTTCAATAACACAGTTTTATCGCATTTCTGCTTATTTTAATATGCAATAAAATTCGCGAACATGCAAAAACCGGTGAAATCCGATGGACAAAGCATGTTGCTTGTCTTGTCAACAACCGGTGGACGTCACGCATTAATGAGAAGTATTCGCAAGAAAGCGGATGACCCCGAAGAGATCGCGTGCGAAAATCAAAACAAGCAGTGGGTATTAAACGGAGACATTCAGCCGAAATTCGAACGGCCAGGCATAGCTATTATGCTCGGCATGCCCAGCATCCCAGTATTATCCATCATGGGGGATACTCACATGACTGCTCGGCATTCACTAGCAAATTCCAACCTCCTGCCCTTAAAACTTACGGAATTCAGCTGTTCCGAATTTTATTTGGCTCTACAGGCCGTAATTTCAACAGGTACGGTTCGGTCTAGCAACGGCCGTAAAAAATCACTTGACAGCTTCACCTACTTCTTCGTCCACCCTACTTGGACTGTCCAATTTTGGTTCGGCCTTCTATGGCCTCTCTATTCGTGTAAATGAAACCGTTGTTATTTTTACGCTATCATCGCTAATATTATCATTATTAGTACTGTCATCAATGTAATTGTTACTAAACATCACTATTATTATTACCATTCTTATTTTTCCTGGTAATATGATCGATGTTATTATCCAAAAAACATTATTATCATCATTCTCACTTCAATAATATCATCGTTATAAATATCATCGCTATAGCATCATCATTATCATAACTACAACAAAATATCAGACACTTACTTTACTCGGCGATCTGTAGAAGCTGTATCGAACTGGTCGTATTGGTGATACAGGCATAGCAGGCATCGGTGAGACCGTAACGTGATCGTTCACATTCCTCTGCGGTGATAAGCGATTGCACTGAACCGTTGGGATTGATAACAGTGATATACCATTCTGAAAAGTAGTACTATTTATGGCAAAAAAAAATTTGCACACAAAAAAGGAATAGAATTTTAATTTGCGGCCGTTAGAATGCTGAATCGTAGTCTTAAAAACAACAAAAACCATATGAACGGTCCAAAAGCAAACAAAATGTGGAGCGGTCGAAGTTCGGTCGGAATTATGTAACATAGCGTCACATAATGATTTATGGTTTTTTTGCTAGAAACTGTGTAAGGAGCAATTGCATCACTATGATGTAACGCCCTGGCCTCTGGTTCAACCTTTGGACACTCTGCCCCCATTAGAGTTTTGCAATCTTAGTGACCTCTAACCCTGGGGTATAAAAGCACTTCTCTCCATTTCCAGGACCCAGAGTCACTCCTATTATTACTCACCTTATTCTAGGCGGCTCCGGCTCCCCAGAGCCTCGTTACCTGCTTATTATTCCTTTCCTTTTTACTTTACCTCGTATAGCTTTAGGCTTTGCACATATTCATAAATATATAACTAAATGTTTTCACACATAAACACACACACAGGGCACACTACTAGTCTAGCTTATTAACTTTCAGGGTCGCGATAACAGCCCAGACCAGTCAACAACGGTCAGGTTTTTTTCATTGGACGCAAAGACAAACAACCTCAGCGAGTCCAGGCTGTAGTTTTTTCACAAACGTTTCCACACGTGCAATGAAAACTCGGTTGTAGTATTTGATGAGATCAGTGTATTCCACGTTTTCCGTTTCCGAATTTGGAGTTGTAGCTCGGGGAGCTGATCCTGGACGCGATTTATCGCTCGGTACCGAGCCTGCTGAATCACGGGAAGCACTATCTTCCGGCGCAACAGCTGCTGCTGATGATGACGATGGTGATGAGCTTAAAAAAATGAAATTATAAAACCAGAACACAATGTGAACAACGCGAATAATAAAGGGAAATAAATGGCAACGCGCACTAGAATAGCCGGTGCGATCATGCGTTTTGTGCAATTCAGCCCATCGAACGATTGCCTGTTAATGATT